ATTGAAGCTACATGGTTCGGATTATGCTGCACGTCTGTCCAAGAAGATTCGCGTATCTCGGCAGATGTTTGCACAGTTCAAGGAACACGCCAAGACTGTTCTTGATCGCGGAGATCATGTTACTTTTGAGTGGCCGCGCTACTCAGATTCATGGAAGCGATCAGACGTCAAGGAGTTCTTCCAAGACTCACGCTTTAAGGCGGTTGATTTTGATGGTTGTAGGTTAGGTGTAGTCGGCAAGAAGGGTCTCCCTGTGAGAAAGCCCTGGCGCCTCATGACCACATCTGATGAGATCGTCAAAGCATTCACCGGCCTTAACTGCACTCACCATCCCAAAGAACACGGGGAAGCCAGGGGTGCTGCTCTCGAGCGCACCGGCTTTTACACACAAGAAATGTGTGAGCTCATAGCCCAAGCCATGAACCCAAAGGTGTCCCATAGGATTGTTCCTGCAATGCCTGTGATACCTATGCAGCCACAAGAAGAGCACAGAGATCGAGAGCAAGACCTCAAGCACGTGTCTTCTCTGTCTGGTCTTGACGACCTCGCAGCAGTCATCGAGACAGATGAAACTGCAAAGGAACTTGTCACTGAGATCACAGATCTCAACGCTCTCATGTGCTATATTCATGGGCTCCCAAAGGGTAAGACCGACCCAGAGGTCTCAGCCATGGTAACTAAGTTACTCTCCCGTGCTGAGATGCTGTCCTCGCCACAAGCCCTGGAGGCCGTGCGTAAGGAGGCGGACGGTCTACGGGCTGTTCCTGTGTGGGATGAGCAGAACCCACGTGAGTTCGCCGATGTGCAAGCAGAGGCGCGGCGCACAGGCACCAAGGTACACTTCGGGAAATTGATGAGCATCGCCTCTATCAAATTCTACGAATTGGCCCAACACCTTCAGAAAATGAAGGGCCGGATAGTGTATCGGGGTGACTGTGCAAAAGATGAAGAGGGTGCTGCCGCAGTCTACAGGGAGTTGGGTGCTAATCCCACTTCCGTGCAGGGCCTCAACGCCTGCATGGCTTATGGCGCACTACCAGGCCATACCACAACAGCAGCAGACGCAGTAAAGGCGTACGTGCAAGCGCTGCTAAAGTCCAAGTTCCAAACTTGGATAGAACTGCCACCTGAGCTCCGACCGTCGTGGTGGCGAGAGTGCTTTGTTCGCCCTGTTGTGCTGTTGCTGCGCGCTCTGTATGGCCATCCGGAAGCTGGAGGACTATGGGAGCAACACCTTAAGGAAGTCTTAGGTGGTTTAGGGGGGTACGAATTGCAAGAGTACCCAGGGAACTTTTGGTTCCCCGAAACCCAGCTCCTTCTCTCCACTTACGTTGACGATCTCACTTTGTCCGGACCCGCAGAAAACCACCAACCTTTTTGGGACAAACTTTGCGCATTGGTTGATGTCGAACCGCCAGAACCAGTCTTTAGGGTTTTAGGCAGGAACCACTACGTCATTAATGCATCAGCAGAGAGCACCGAGAACGCTGCCCTAGGCGCGTTAAAAGGGGCTATGGCTTTTGACATGTATGACTACGCACAGCAAACGGTGGATCTCTACCTAAGCATCACCGGGTCTAAAACTCTAAAGGCTGCTCAGACCCCATTCTGCCCAGATGGCGCGCTCACTTCATGTGATGACGACATCTCAGGAGAGCTTGCTCCCAATGCATGCAAACTCCTTATGAAAGCCTTGTGGCTGGGCAGACTGGCTCGCCCCGACATAGTCAAGCCCATTGGGGACTTAGCCACGCGTGTCCAATCTTGGTCAAGGAATAACGATAAGCAACTCCATCGCCTTATCTGTTATATCAACTCGACCAAGTCCCACCGGTTGGTTGGCTCAGTTGGTGACGGCCCAAGGGAGCTGCATCTTGCGCTCTATGTTGACGCGGACTTCGCAGGAGAAAAGATAGACTCCAAGTCAACGTCGGGCGGTTACCTCGTCTTAAAGGGTCCTAAGACGTTCTTCCCTCTAGCCTGGGTCTGCAAGAGACAAACCTCCACATCTCGCTCTACCACGGAGTCAGAGATTGTGTCCCTCGCACATTCGTTGTTTCAAGAGGGCCTTCCGGCCTTACAGCTTTGGCAGACCCTACTAGGCCATGAGGTGAAGCTGGTCATTCATGAGGACAACCAGGCCACGATCCTCGTAGCCCGAAAGGGTTACTCTCCCAAGCTCCGGCATATCCAGCGCACTCATAAGGTCAACCTGGGTAGCATTGCCGAGCAGCTAAGTGAGGAAGATGTAGAGCTCACTTATGTCGAAACCACCTGGCAAGCGGCCGACATATTCACTAAAGCTCTTCCTCCCCAGAAATGGGACAATGCCCTCAAGCTCCTTGGCATGCGCCAAAAGCTTCCAGTCGAGCTTACGGACATACGGGATCTTCAAGCCAAGCTGCTTTGAGCGCTGCCTGCCTTTTCTTTCTCAACTCATAACGTAACACCCGCAGAAGCCATGTGCAGTGGGGGCTGCTCTTAGCGCCCTTGTCTGGAGGCAGTAAGCTTCCCGTGGGCAGAGCACCCTCACAAGCACAGGGTGATGTACATAGATGCCTTCGGTTCCTCTGAAGAGGGGGGAGTCAAGAAATCAGGGCTCCAGAGGCCCCTTAGGACCGTAGGAAGAGGCTCTTTAGTTAGAGGCCCCAGAGAGTAGGAATTCACTTTCGATGCTACACTTTGGCTCAAGGTAAAAAGGCCCGCTAGATGCCCTTTAGCTTAAAGTTAAGGGTCGCGGCCGGGGTTGATCCCAGTGGGGTTCCCCCTCCTTTGTTTCCCCCTAGGGTGTTCCACGCATACTTAAGTAAAGAAGCGCGAATCAAGTTTAAGACACACCCAAAAGAACAGAATGAAGGAATACCTAGAAGAGAATAATTTAAGTGAAGAAGGTTTGACACCAACACAAATTTCCGAAATCAATTCTGATAAAAAATCCTAGTCTGTGGAGCGCCCAAATACGATATGAACGAATACAAAGTGATCATGCCCAACGCTGTCATTATGGTGATGCAAATTGAATTCACTAGAAAAAATCGTTATTCTTTGTTACTTATCTACCGACAATGTCTGAAGAAAAGAGAACTTAAGATACTTAAGGATATGAGCAAATACCAAAACGGGAAGATTTTTAAAATCGTTGATGTAGGATATAGCAGATGTTATATTGGTTCACCCTGCGAAGAGTTAAGCCAAAGGATGGCAAGACACTGACATTCTTACAATACAAATCTAAAGTCAACTAAACATCGGGAGCGTAGTCATTTGCTGTTTGACGAGCTTGGCGTTGAGAACTGTCTAATTATATTAGTGGAAAAAGATTCCTGTAACTCACGGGAAGACTTCGTCAGAAAAGAAGGCGAACGCATCAAGAATACCGAAGGCGCAAATAAATATGTTGTTGGCAGAACTGTAGCAGAAAAGGAGAGCGTATACAAAGAACAAGGACAGGGCAAATAGCAGAGCATCAATGAAAATACAGTATGAAAGAAATCCCGAGCAGCTTATACGTAGAGCTAATTAAAGACTATTATAAGAGCCATACAGAAGAAATCGGTCGGAAAGACAAAGCCCGTTACGAGGCAAACAAAGACAGCGTCCTGAAGATAATGTCTGAAAATTGATATGCGAACGCGGAGTAGCTTACACACACGGACATAGGGCAAGGCATCCAAGGACACAGCGTCATCAATACTTCTTACACCAACAACAAACAAAATCATATCATCCTTAGTTCTTACAATGAGCATTTCTAAGAAAGATGAGATAATAAAGAAGATTTTGACGATGGAAGTGGGCTTGGTTCAAAAAACAGAACACTAGCCGAAGCATGGCAGAAGGACAAAACTATAACAATGAATGACATAAATCCTAAACCCTAAACCCTAAACCCTAAACCCTAAACCCTAAACCCTAAACCCTAAACCCTAAACCCTAAACCCTAAACCCTAAACCCTAAACCCTAAGTTCAGAGCAATCGTAGAGCAACAAAGAAAGCCGGTAGGTCAAGCCAGTTTTGTCGCTTTTTTTGCTTGTGAATATCAGATGGATTTGTTTTGCATAAACGATTGGAAAGAACAAAAGCTTAAGGTAGGAGTGTTGATGATTGATGTATTTGATAAATTCGTGCATGTAGGGCCGATAAAAAGCAAACAAGAAGGAGACGTAGCGAGTGGAATGATTGAGCGTTTAAACAAGAGATGGGTAAGAAACCCGAAATAATTTATGCAGATGATGAAGGCGCATTGAACAAGGAGGCATACAAAAATATTTGAAGGATGAGAACATAGAACATGACCGAACGAGGGCGCACCCAAATTTTAGCGACAGAGCCATCCGCACTTTTCAAGATATGTGGTATAAGAGAGTTGAAGCCGATGAAACACAGGGAAAGGAAAACATCCAATGGCCAGATGTAACATCCACGAGATACATAAATGATTTGGTAGGGAAACAGATTTCAAATATGAGAAGGAAACGAAAACCACATTTAAAAAGTTAATGGACACCTTCAATGCAGACCCAGTTTTAGAAGACGATTTGTTTCACACAGAGCAGTATATGGAAGGTATTTAGATTAAGAGCCTTGAACGGGTAGATCATTCGCTAAACCCTAACCCTAAACCCTAAGCCCTAAGCCCTAAGCCCTAAACCCTGAACCCTAAACCCTAAGCCCTAAACCCTAAACCCTAAACCCGAAACCCGAAACCCTAAACTGTAAACCCTGAACCCTGAACCCTGAACCCTAAACCCTAAACCCTAAACCCTAAACCCTAAACCCTAAACCCTAAACCCTAAACCCTAAACCCTAAACCCTAAACCCTAAACCCTAAACCCTAAACCCTAAACCCTAACCCTAACCCCAAACCCTAAACCCTAAACCCTGAACCCTGAACCCTGAACCCTGAACCCTGAACCCTGAACCCTGAACCCTAAACCCTAAACCCCAAACCCTAAAACCCCAAAACCGAAAACCACAATCCCCCCAAACACCACTAAAGGACTCCTGACTTCTTCCCAGCACCGCTCAGCAACAAGCAGTGCCCTAAGCCGGGCAGTTCGAAGGACAGGTTTTCGGGTTTGGGAAAGTTAGGGTTTCGGGTTTAGGGTTTAGGGTTTAGGGTTTAGGGTTTAGGGTTTAGGGTCGAGAGTTTGGGGTTTTCGTGCGTTTTGAGAGGGAGTTTGGTCCGAGGGTATTTGTCTGGGCCCTGAATATGGTCTGTTACCTCCTTTAAAGGCTGGATCATGAGCCCATGGGTTTTATGTCAAGGAATTCAGACTCGGACCCCTAAGGTTGTACCCCTAAAGGTTCCCCTGAATATACTCCTAATATGGCCCTTATATTCCCTTAGGGATCCTTAAAAAGGGATCCCAAAACCCAAGGGTACAACCTTAAGGGTCCAAGGTAGAACCCCTAGATTATGGGGTTTATGAGGGGTAAAGGAGGGACCCTAGAAGGTACCTCTAATCTTATTCCGCTATACAACCCCTGTATATACCGTTTGTAGCCCCTATGTGCCTAAGTAGCCCTAAACCCTAAACCCTAAACCCTAAGCCCTAAGCCCTAAGCCCTAAACCCTAAACCCTAAACCCTAAAGCCTAAACCCTGAACCCTAAACCCTAAACCCTAAACCCCAAGCCCTACAGAACTCCCGAGGTCCCTTGTAAGGGTGCCTCCTTTAGCCCCTTGATATATAAGGGCTCCCCTCTTTACGGGCCAATGCGAAGGGACCATGTAACTTCCCCAAGATTTTGGGGTTATGGGGCTTGGGATTCTGAGGGGTGTTGAGGGTTTAGGGTTTAGGGTTTAGGGTTTAGGGTTTAGGGTTTAGGGTTTATAATACAGTTTTAGGGTTTAGGGTTTAGAGTTTAGAGTTTGGGGGTTTGGGTTTTTTGGGTTTAGGGCCTTAGGGACTCTAGGGTTAGCATCTGGGGTTTACGGGCTTACGGGGTTTAGGGGGGTGGGGTTTCGGATCCGTGGCCCTAGAGTACCCCTATACTGTCTAAACCCTAGAATAGCAACAACAACCGTAAGAACTGTAAGACCACCCCAACAGCCCCGAGCCCGAACCCGAACCTTGCAATGACAAGATCCATCCCCAATTTAAACCCTAAACCCTAAACCCTAAACCCTAAACCCTAAACCCTAAACCCTAAACCCTAAACCCTAAACCCTAAACCCTAAACCCTAAACCCTAAACCCTAAACCCTAAACCCCAAACCCTGCAATGACATCCTCCCAGGTGTATCCTGCTGAACGGTCGGACGGCCGTCATGCGCCGTGAGCCACACCAGGCATCGGTTTCTTGTGCGATCGAAGTCCGTGTTGAGAATATGGGTTTTGGGTGTTTAGGGTTTAGGGGCGTTTTCTGAAACATCCCTAATCTCCTAAGCCCCAAAGCCTTGAGCTCTTCAACCCCTAGACTCTCAGAAAAATAGACCTCCAAAGCCTGGAGACCCCTAAGCTCTGAGTCCCCAGGCTAAACCCCAAACTTACTAAGCCCTAAACCCCTAAGCCGCTAATTTCAAAAACATCCCCAATCTCTACACCCAAGAACACTAAGAGGCCCGCGCCTTTCCCTGCACATCCCTAAACCCTAAGCCCTAAGCCCTAAGCCCTTATTGAACCCTTTGGGTTTGTCAAGGGCCTTAAGGCTTTTGGAGCCTGTATTTTTTTGACATACAGAAGCCCGAAACTAAGGCTACGTCGGACCTATGGGTAGGTCTACCCTAGGCCTACGGGTAGCCTATGTACAGGCCTACGTAGAGGCTATGCGAGGCTACCTACAGGCCTATCCGTAGGCCTACGAGTGGGCTACTGGTAGGCCTCCCTGTAGGCCTACCAGTCGCCTATTGACAGGCCTACCAGTAGGGCTGTGGATAGCCTACCGGTAGCCTACCCGTAGGCCTACGGATAGGCTACAGGCAGGCCTATCTGTAGGGCTATAGGTAGGCTACCGGCAGGCCTACCCGTAGGCCTATGGGTAGGCTACCGGTAGGCCTGCAGGCTTATACGTAGTCGAGGCATAGTAGTAGTGATGATCTCGGGGCTGGGGCTCGGGCACGCAAAGGAGGGCCTAAGAGTCCATGCGTGCGTGATTTATTTTACGGATGCACGCCCGAGGCCCTGGACCGAGCCCCAGGACTCGAGAAACGACGAAAGCACCCGTCAAACTGCTCCCGAAATTCTCAACCCGAGACATCATGTGCATCCGTAAAAGAAATCACGCACGCATGGACTCTTAGGCCCTCCTTTTTGTGCCCGAGCCCGGCCCAGCCCCGAGATCATCACTACTACTATGCCTCGACTACGTATAAGCCTGCAGGCCTACCGGTAGCCTACCCATAGGTCTACGGGTAGGCCTGCCGGTAGCCTACCTATAGCCCTACAGATAGGCCTGCCTGTAGCCTATCCGTAGGCCTACGGGTAGGCCTACGCGTAGGCTGCCCGTGGCCCTTTGATACGTCTACGGGTAGGCCACACGAGGGCCTATGGATAGGCCTACGCGTAGGCTGCCGCAGACTCTACCGACAGGCCTACGCGTAGCCAGCCGTAGGCCCTACAGCTAGGGCTACGGGTAGCCTATACGTTTGGGCTTCTTTACCTTTTTTGAAAGCACTTTTTTGAGATGTTTTGGTGCTTCGTTGAGCCCGACGTCGGGCCTGTAGGATGGGGTGCAGCTCCTTGAGCCTTGGTGGCCAGTTTATGGTTTAGGGTCTAGGGTTTAGGGTTTAGGGCTGAGGGCGGCTGAGGGTTCGGGTTTTAGGGTTCAGTAGATCCTCATGAGGGGTCTTGGGCGAGGGTTTCGCAATGTACTTGGAAGCCTTTTTGGCTTAGTAAGCAGGGTTAGTAAGGTGGGTTATGGGGGTCATAGAAGGGTTTCTAGGGTACTGAGCAGACTTACTAAGTCCAAAGAGCGTCCAAGTATATAGTCATTTCTCGGAGCAGTACAAGGTATTCCGAAACCGAAACCCTACACCCTGGACCCTAAACCTAAGCCTTGAGCCCTAAACCCTAAACCCTAAACCCTAAACCCTAAACCCTAAATCCTAAAAAACGCCGGACCCCACACCCAGAAACCCAGAACCCTGCTTAGCTCCCCTGAGTCCAAACCAGGTGTAGGGCGAACCCCAGCCCGACACCCGAAACCCTGAACAAACCCTAAACCCTAAACCCTAAACCCTAAACCCCAAACCCTGCAACCCTAAACCCTAGACCCTCCAGCCTCCTAAGCCCGAATTTCATGACGCTAGTGGCAGGTCCCGCGGGGCTGTGTCGCGTTCAGCAGCAGAGCCTTGGCACGACTTGGAGGCTCATGGGTAGTTCTAAGTAGGGTCATAAGTCCCCGAAGTAGAGCTATAAGTATGGTTGCCATACTTGTAACCATACTTATAACTACCCATGAACCTCCAAGCAATCCCCAAACCTCCAAGAGGGTTGTTCTGAACATCATTGTCCATTGGTGGGTATCCTAAACAAGAGGGGCCCCCTTATCATAAGGACCCTCACAGGGATTATATTAGAGATATGGCCATATATATATATATACATATACATATAGGGCTTGGGGTTTAGAGTTTAGGGTTTAGGGTTTAGGATATATACATATTATATATACGTATATATATATATATATATATATATACACACATGGTTTCAGGACCCAACAACCATAAACCTAGGGTTTAGGCGCTTCTCAGGGTTTAGGAACCTCAGAAGCCTTAAGCCCTAGGCCCTACGCCTTGAGGGTTCAGGGTTTCAGGGTTTCAGGGTTTCAGGGTTTCAGGGTTTCAGGGTTTCAGGGTTTCAGGGTTTCAGGGTTTCAGGGTTTCAGGGTTTCAGGGTTTCAGGGTTTCAGGGTTTCATGGTTTCAGGGTTTCAGGGTTTCAGGGTTTAGGCTTTAAAGTTTTGGATTAACCCTTATCCTGGAAACCCCACCGCCAAACTTCTAAACCTTACAAGGACCTTATAGCGGTAAACCCGAGAAACCTGGAATCTTTTGGCTTTTTGGAGGCTGAAATGAATGCGCGCTCAAGGGTGCAAATCCCCCCCCCCCCCCAAACGCGGAGTCTGATACCAGATTGATAACAGTATGAAACGAGTTTGAAGCAGCACAAAGAAGTCTGAGACAGGAGGTGCATGCAGCGTTCCCGGGCTCTACGCACTGGACTAGCAACGGACATCCTTCGCGTGCAAATGCGCAGGGGTTAGGGTGTGGGTTTAGGGTTTAGGGTTTAGGGTTTAGGGTTTAGGGTTTAGGGTTTAGGGTTTAGGGTTTAGGGTTTAGGGTTTAGGGTTTAGGGTTTAGGGTTTAGGGTCGCTGCGGCTATCGTGCGCTTGGCTTTGGGCTCGGTGGGCGCTTTCTGGATGCGAGTTTGAGCTTGCGGCAATCGTGGAGTATCTGGGGGCGAAGGCCAGACTTCGTCAATATCCCTATAAATATCTCATATCTCCCCTTTAACAGATATTGTCGGGTCCCTAACCCTAATCCCTAAAGCCTAAAGCCAAAACCCTAACCCCTAAACCCTAAACCCTAAACCCTTCTAAGAACCACTAGGACTTCCCAGCATCGCCTCTAAGGTGAACTTCACCCGGGCGGAGATTCCAGTGACCCGTTTCAACTGCCTTTTTTTGTGCAGGTGTAGGGTTTGGGGTTTAGGGTTCAGGGTTTGGGGTTTAGGGTTTAGGGTTTGAGGTTTAGGGTTTCGGGTAACCTCTGCACACCCTAAATCCTGAGCGCCAAGCCGCGCACCCGACACCCGAAACCCTGAACTCCCAGCCCTGAACTCATCCAGTATCACATTTGTTTTCAATCTTTTTTGTTTTAGGTCAAGGCTCCTTTCAAACCGAAGTTATGAACAAGGGGTACTGGGTTAGGACCCCGAGCCTTAAGGCCTAAACCATAACCACACAAAAGGGTACTCTTGTTCCCTCTAGATCGCGCTCGATCACCTGACTAAACCCTAAACCCTAAACCCTGACTGGTTGGCTCCTCAAGTATTCGAAGTCCTTGAAGCTTCTCCCCCTTTCAGGCTTTTTGGGGTCAAGGTTGTGGGGTTGAACCAATCCTAACATGTCAGAACGTCCTTTCAGGGGTTGGAGTTCAGGGTTTAGGGTCACACTTCGTTCATTCGCGATACTTGAGAACCCTAAACCCTAAACCCTAAACCCTAAACCCTAAACCCTGAGCCCTAAACCCTAAACCCTAAACCCTAAACCAGCTCTAGGAGTAGATTTTCTACATGCAAAGCCCGAAACCCGCTGCCCTGCACTCAGAAGCTACTGCCTTGCAGCTCAGCTGTCACAAGCCCGAAAACCCAAGACTCAGAGGGTTTAGGGTTTAGGGTTTAGGGTTTAGGGTCTAGGGTCTAGGGATTAGGGTAAACATCGTCCATGACGCCTCTGCATGCAGCAATTTGAGGCTACTTCTTCACCATCCGCGTGGACAAGACGCTGATGCTGGTTCGCATTTCGGAACGTCGTTGGTGTACATCGAGCTGACGAACCCGAATACCCCAACACCCAAACCGCAAACCCAAAAACCTCCTATCCCCTAAAGCCCCTGAGCCCCTAAGCCCGTAGACCCCCCAACTCTAACCTCCTAAAACCCAAGACTCTAAACCCCACAACCCAAAACCCCAGACCCTCATGGGGCCCTAAACTCCAAGACCCAAGCCGCAAGTCCTAAGCCAGCCCCAACCCCCACCCTGAAAACCCCAACCCGAAACGGGGCTTAGGGTTTAGGGTTTAAGGTCTAGGGTTTAGGGGTTTAGCGTTTAGGGGTTTAGGGTTTAGGGTTCAGGGTTTGGGGTTTAGGGCACAGGTCATGTTCCCCCCCCCCCACACCCCCAAGCATTCGGGTTTAAGGTTGATAGGGGATTAGGGTTCAGGGTTTATACTAAGCATTGCGGCCAGGGAGGCTTGAATGTTTGGCGGAGGGCCTAAGCCCTAAGCCCTAAGCCCTAAGCCCTAAGCCCTAAGCCCTAAGCCCTAAGCCCTAAGCCCTAAGCCCTAAGCCCAAAGCCCAAAACCCAAAGCCCTAAACCCTAAACCCTAAACCCTAAACCCTAAACCCTAAACCCTAAACCCTAAACCCTAAACCCTAAACCCTAAACCCTAAAATGGTTAGGCTGTAAGGGCTCCGCACCTTGCATTGAAACCTCACAACACCCCAAACCGTTAACCTTCATTCCCTTATAAGGAAGAATCTGTTTTGGGATTTTGTGGGGGGTTTAGGGTTTAGGGTTTAGGGTTTAGGGGGGTGGGGGGGGGGGGGGGGGGATGGACTTTAAAGCAGGTAGTAGCTCAAACCCTCAATCCTGAGCCCTGAAGCCTCATAACATGCAGTCAGCCGGAATCCCTCTAGGAACCCGAAGCCCCAGCTAAACTCCTCAACGTCAGCCCTGCAACTCCAACTGTTCATGAATCCTACGCCCTAAACCCTAAACCCCAAACCCTATAACCCTATAACCCTATAACCCTATAACCCTATAACCCTATAACCCTAAACCCTAAACCCTAAACCCCAAACCCCACACCCGAATCAGCCCCAAGCCCAAAACGCACAGTTACTCTCAGGACGACATGGACCGCGAGGATGCCATTCTTGGGCATCTCGGACTTGGGAGGGGTTTGGGGTTTAGGGTTTAGGGTTTAGGGTTTAGGGTTTAGGGTTTAGGGTTTAGGTTATAGGGGGAAAATCCCAAGATGTAGCCTTATAGGGCTTTTTGGAGAGGTTTAGGGTCAGGGTTGAGGGTTTAGGGGAGAGGGCTTTGGGGTTTTTTTAAGGTTTAGGGTTTAGGGAAGAGGGTTTGGGGGTTTAGGGCTTAGGGCTTCGGGAAGAGGGTCTGGGTGGTTAAGAGTTTGGGGTTTCGATAGCCGTCACTGAAGGGGAGTGTGTCTGGGTTCGTCCTTTTAGGGTTGAAGGTTTAGGCTTAACCCTAGACCCCAAACCCCAAACTCTAGGCCCTAAACCCTAAACCCTTTAGGGTGCTTCACCGAGGTTTTACCTGCACCTCACCGGAGGAGGTTGCGAAGACGAGGCACGGATTGATAAAGCGCCTGGGGTTCAGGGTTTAGGTTTTTCGGGTTTAGGGTGTGTGTGTGTGTGTATGATAGCTCGTTTTTGGTTCAGGAGGACACTATGTCAGAGGCAGTTCCAGGGCGCATGAATTGTAACTTGTTTCGGGGAAAAGGACAGAAACCCGGAGCCCTGAACCCTAGGTGTTAGCGATTTTAGGGTTCAGGGTCTAGGGATTTAGGGATTTAGGATTGCTGTCGAAGGGGTTTCAGGGTTTTGGGTTTGAGGTTCATAAAGCAGTAGCCCTCCTGTCCAAGAAAAGGTGCTTCTTCGGAGCTGCCCCCCATGCATTCTACCTGGGCGAGACCGCGGTGATTGGCGGAACGGGCGAGGCCCCCGAGAGGGTACGGAGTCCTGCGTCCTCAAGCCGAAAGAGCTAGCTAACCTTGCAATCCCCAAAGCTCTAAGCTCTAAGCTCTAAGCTCTAAGCTCTAAGCTCTAAACCCTAAACCCTAAACCCTAAACCCTAAACCCTAAACCCTAAACCCTAAACCCTAAACCCTAAACCCTAAACCCTAAACCCTAACCCCGAGACCCTAGGCCCTTAAACCCCAAACCGTTTCACCCACAGCCTCTACCTGTTAATCTGCAGGTTTCAGGTTTTGCTAAGCTGCCGGAAAATGGAGCGGACAACCCGAATCCTCAACCCCACAAGAAGCCTTAGAGTTCGCATCCCCCAAACCCCAAACCCCAAACCCCAAACCCCAAACCCCAAACCCCAAGCCCCAAGCCCCAAACCCCAAACCCCAAACCCCAAACCCCAAACCCCAAACACCAAACCCCAAACCCCAGACCCTAAACCCTCAAGGCCAGGATAAATAGAAATTGTACGCGTTTCATTACGAGCCGCTCGTGCAATAATCCTTCAGCCTTCACCGTGCAAAAAATCAGACAAAATCATGGCTTTCAGGGCACCAAACAAGACCCTGAACAGGAAAGAAAGCCACGAAAGATGCTCCCCCAACCCCCAAAACCCCCCAAACCCCCCAACACCCAAACAGCCCCCCAGGCCCCAGCCAACCTCCCAGCCCAGCTAGCACCCCAGCTCCGCCAGCCTCCCAGCCCCCAAAAGCACTCCAAAAACCCCCGAAATCATTGGAGGAAAAAGCAAGAAACAAAACCCGGCAAAACCCAGCAAAACTCCGGACACAAACCCTATACAATTTCTATAAACCCCAAACCCTAAACAGTAAACCCCAAACCCTAAACCCTTAACCCCAAACCCGAAACCCCAAACCCCAAACCCTAAACCCTAAACCCTAAACCCTAAGCCCTAAACCCTACACAGGCCTGGTTGCGCACAGACCCCAAGCTTCTCCTGCCACGGCTGGGGCGGCCCGCCGAGAAGGACGCACAACGCTTCTCGTGCCCACATTGGACTTTTAGAGGTTTAGGGTTTAGGGTTTCGGGTTTAGGGTTTAGGGTGACCCTAAGCCTAAACCCTAAACTCTTGGAGTTTTCGGCTGAAGGTTTGGGAGTTGTTTGTTCAGTTTGGGGGTTGAGGGTTTTGGGTCCACGCTGGGTTTTTGTTTACAGCTGTCGCGTGTACGTCCCTGTGTATGTCACAATGTGCCTAGACCCCAAACCTTAGGCTCTCAACCCTAAACCCGAAGCCCTAAACCCTAAACCCTAAACCCTAAACCCTAAACCCTAAACCCTAAACCCTAAACCCTAAACCCTAAACCCTAAACCCTAAACCCTAAACCCTAAACCCTAAACCCTAAACCCTAAACCCTAAACCCTAAACCCTATGCGGAGCTGCAATTGGTATTGTAGAAAAGAGTTAGTGTTGAGAGTTGGAAGGGTTAATGAACCCGTAAATCATGTTTGGCTCAAGATGGGCTTGAACAGAAAGCCACAAGTTCAAAAAATAGTGCCTGGGTTCTTAGGGTTTGGTAAGGGTGTGGATTCCTTCCCCCTTTCCTTCCCCCCTGGGTTGCTCTTATCCGTGTTCTTGTTTGTTTCTTGGTTCGATCTGGGAAATATAAGTTCAGGGCGATTAGGGGAGTTGATTTCCTTCCTTGGTTGTCCCCCCGTAGGTTATGAGCCCAAATTAGGTTCCCTGCGGTTAAGTGTTCTTTCAAGGTTTTTGGGATCAAGAAGCAATGCCTTCTCCGAAGCGATGGCTCCAACCTGCCTCGGATGGTGGACAAAATGGTGGAGCTGGAAATGGTGCAGCTGAGTCTCTGGGTGAAAGATCGGTGTTGGAAGAGGTGATTCCCGGCGCTGAAGAACATCTGGAAGAAGCCTTGGTTGCAGAAAGCCCCAATGTGGGTATGAACCCCAATGTGGATATGGTTAGCAATACTGAAGCTGAAGGACGTGCTGTCTCTGTATCGCCAAAGCCTGGTGAGAAAAGGAACTGGGACGCGACTGGTGGTATAGATCGTGAAATGGAGGTGACTGTTTTACGAGTGTTGCACAAACACGGGTATCAGCCGTCGTCTTCGACTTCGGGTCGAATGGTAGACCAAGAGTCTCAGACCGATCTGATTGGAGAAGTGCTGCAAGCGGCCAGGAGGCCTCTGAACAAGATCAAAAGGGATCCATCTTCGAGTTCCCAAGGTGGTGGAAGCGGTCACGAACAGAAGGGGTGCGGACAGCTTTGAAGCTGCACCTGCTGCTGAATACGCCATGGGGGAGGAGGAGATCCTACAGATGGAGGCTGAGAGGTTGCGACAGTTGTCCGAAGAGGAGGACGAGATGCGTCAGGTCTCTGAAAGGGATGGTTTTCGGAAAGACGAGCATCTGATCAAAGCGTGCGATGGGACAACGTGGGAATGGCACCTCCATGAAGATGGGAGACAATATTATTACTGCCTGGATACGCAGGAAAGCAAGTGGACATTGCCGGTGGTAGGTGAAAAGATGAAGAGTGACGAGGTGGTTGGGTCTCCTTCGGGCAATGAGCTGGAAATGGAGGCGGCACTGGATTCTTCATCCTCTACTCCGAAGACTGAGTCTACGAGGGCATTCCAGGGTAGTGTAAATAGTTTAGGTGAAAAAGATTTTTCCTCTACTATCAGGGATAGCGGTCCTAGGGCTGGTGGTGACGCCCCGACCTCGGGTTCTCCTGATGAGGAGGAGGTTCCTGGAAACCGAGCAGACATCGCTGGAGCTCAACATCTGGATCGGGAAGGAATGGGAGCACTTTCTGAGGGTGTGGCAGCGGTGGAATCGGTAGGTCCAGAAGAAAAGATTCCCAATGTGGAGATCGGAACTGTGTCGGCTGCAGAAGAGCGAGTGGTGGATGTGGTACCTGTCGTTCAGGAATGTGGTCCTGGAGATTCGGAAGACGGAGGGAAAAGGTCGTGTGTTGCGACTGAGGAGGTCTCTTCGTTTGGTGCCAAGATTCCTGCCATTCAAGGGGAAAAAGAAGCTTCTGGAATAGCTGGAGACACGGAAGATCTGAGAAATGAGGCCTGGAGCGCCAATGATGCGCGGGTCGATGCGCCAGATATTACCTGGAGTGCGAAGGAAGCACGGGTTGAGGTGCATATGGTGTTACGTTCCACGGGCGACTGCAACAATGGGACGCAGGTCTCCGCAGCAGCTGATGATGGAGGTTCACAGGTGGACGCACTGGTGCAACCTGAAGTTAGCCGCGAGGAACGAAATGACAAGGGCTACACCGGAGCCAATGAGGCAGCTGTGGTCAACGATGGTGGAAATTCTCCTTTGGAAGCCATGGAACCAAGGGAGCCTGCGGTGGAAGAAAGCGTGCCTGCCGTGGATGATCGACTCAATTGCCCTGCAGTGGAGGAAGATTTGCCTGCTGCAGAAGGTGTGACAAAGGACTCCAATGATGGGTCCACTCCCATGAAGGGAGAAGTGTTGCCGTCTGGAAGTTCGCCGGATGTCGACACCGAGCGAATTACAGCAGATGAGGCAAAGCCTTTGGCGGAGAAAAAGGGAGGTCCTGAAGTCCGGGAGCACAAAAAAGATGAGCTTGTGGGACTCGTGGAGCAGGACGAGCAGTGTGACCCAAAGGTGAAAACAAAGGATGCGCCAGGAGCCGATGATACAGAGGTGGTTTCTGAAGAGCATGCAAAGAAAGTGCCCCGAGCGGGAGCCTTGGAATCACCTGGGACACATTGCTATCAAGAGGGAGATGAGATCATGGGTCTAGTGCGCTGCATCAATGGGTATGGAGCCTTTTTGGACCTTGGTGATTTGAATGTATTGATTCCTGCAGAAGGGAACAATACGTGTCAGTTCAGATTTGGTGATACTGTCAATGGAACAGTGAAACTAGTGGAAGATGATGGTACCATAATCTTGGACACCTTTCTGGTTTTGGAAGAGGACGTGGAGGACTCTTCCTCAACGCTGCGGAAATGGAAACCCAGCGGCTGGAGTACGTGGTGGACGAATTCATGGTATGTTGGTCAATGGTACCAAGATTCCAACGGTCAATGGGACTGGAAACAGGAGGAAGAGCAATCCGATGAAGAGCTTGTGGTACAGGAGTTATCCTCTGAAGAACGAAAAGAAAGGCAACTTTATGGAGAAAAGATCTACAAAGCTCTTCTGGAGAATGGAAACGAAGAGGAAGCCTATGTTGGCAAAATTACTGGGATGCTGTTGGGTCGCCCGATGGAAGATTTACAGGAGTGTGTTGCAGATCAGGCATTCCTCAATGCGGAAGCTCGGCGCGCGTATGGCATCTTGCAAAATGATGGTTGGAAGCCTGATGGTACAGAAAGCACAGGCTTGGGGAAGTTAACCACTTTTTCCCGAAAACAGTACCACAACGCGCTTTTCGAACTGGCATGCAGAAAAAGGAGATTTTCTCGACCAGTTGTGGGTGAAGCGGTGGCAACGGTGCTGAATCAAGGGGAAGATGAGTTTTGGAACGCGCTTTGGTTGGACACCAAGCTATTTTTGCAGGAGCTTGATGGTGCAGTGCAATCCATGAGCAAAAGGGAGAACAAGCCAATGGAAGCCTACATGGACCCTGACCAGTACAAAAAGGCTCACATGACTCCAAGGACTGTGTTGTCACCTGGATACAGCAAGCTGTGCAAGTTCTTCAATCGGGGAAGGTGTCGCAATGGTGATGAGTGTTCCTATGAGCATCGTCGTTATGGTGAAGGTTGGCCAGGAGGAGGGTCAACTGATCCAAAGAATAGCCAAGAAGCTGATGATGAGGATGGGAACATCGGTGACCCTCCCACAGAGGAAGGTACAGTGGATGAGGCACAGCAGGAGCGGGAGGATTTAGCCTTCCGGGCCAAGTACAATTTTGGCAAAGGTGCATCAAAGGGTGAACCTACGTCGGGTGAGCCAAAAGGTCGTCTGTGTCTGTATTACAATCAAGGTGGTTGTAAATATGGGACTACATGCAGGTATCTTCACAACGATGACATAGCATTGGAAGGGACTTGGGAGCCCGGCAAAGCTTGGGACAATGCTTCCAGGAAGTCACTAAGGGACGCAGGGTTCCACCATTGCTGTTTCGATTATTACCTCAGAGGACGTTGCCGGAAAGGGTCAAATTTCTGCAAGTACTCCCATGACGAGATGTCAGAGGAGCGGCTGTCGCTCCTGAAACACTTGGTACAGGTGGCCAATCAGGTCCGGTTTGAAAAAAGAGAGAGGATGGGAGATTACGGATAGAAGCACTTTTCAGCCACCTGCGAGTGGGGGAGCTGAATCTTCCTCATCCTCGGCACCAAAAGCGCTGCAAATGGCCAATGTGTCACAAAAAGATGGTGAAAAAGGTATTCTGGATGAAGCAGAAGCTGATGAACAAAAGAATTCGGTGGCTGCATCCACTGGTACTCAGCTTCAAAATCCGGAGGAGCCAATTGAAAATTGGATGGCTCGCAACGCGCACCTGTGGGTGTATACCCCTCATGTAAGTGAGGTGATGATTACGCTTGGTGTGACCAATGTGTCGGACTTGCAAGAGTTCATCTTTGTGGAAGATTTGGTTGACAAAGGGATCAACAAAGTGACCGCATGCAAAATTCTGCAATTGGTTGGTGATGTCCGATATCGCCCGGGAGGACCGGAAAAGGCAGTTCCTTCTGATGCATCTGTACGGGTACAACAATCTTCTGGGAACAAAGGAACTGGAAGAGCGACGGTGGGAACCCTCACTCAGGTGCGTGAAGCTGAAGACTCCGGTGCAAAAACTATGCCGAGAGGCTCCTATCGGGAGCTTTTTGATAAGGTCAGGTACCGTGATGGTTGGACGCTTGCGCAGAGGTCTCCGTTGTGCGTACAGAAGCTGCGGTTGGTGGGAGTTGGAATGCCGCCGGTGAATCCACCAACAAAAAAGTATCGGTCAAGATCAAACCCTGTGAGAAGGGGAAGGCCCTTGCTGGACAAAAAACAGGTGCGACAGGTGCCACGCTCTCGGTCACAACGACGAGTGCAACCGGCGGAAGTGGTGGAAAAGCCGAAGCCACTGGAACTGAAGCCTCGTGGTGGGTTGTCGTATCGGTTCAGCAGAGCGTGGGCAGATGTGGTGGATGATGATGAACAGGCGGAGGCTTTGGTCTCGTATGCCGCTTCCTCAAGCGATTCAAGCGAAGAGGAGACCAATGCCGTACAACGCCTGAAGGAAATCTTTTTGCAAGAAAGGGATTCACAGAGAACTGCGAATCGTGGCAATGTTCCGCAAAGTGGTTCTTCAGGCTCCAATGACGGGCCGAAAAAATCGGTTCACCTTGGCGAAGGGCGCGACAAAGCGTCGCGGGGGGAGACCCGCCAAGAAGTGACTTCACAAGTTTTTTCGCTACCACAACCTTCTCGTCGAGCTGAACGGTCTCAAAAAAGAGCAAGGAATGGTTCAGTTATGGTTGGTTCGCTGGCGGTGGGCTCCACGGATGAGGTTTTACCTGGGCAAGGTGTTGCTGGACAGGTGAATGTATCTGAAAGCGCTCAAGTTCTTCCTGGGCAAGAAGTGGCTGGACAGGAGACGGCGCCGGAAGGAGCAGTACAGATTTCTGGCGAGGAGACTGACCAAAAAGAAGGAGAAGGTGGGAGCAATGAACTCCGTGGTGATGATGCGAAGATATTGGAGGGTAGTCCGGTGAGGAATGACCTTCAGCAATTGCTGGTTAAAGGCCTTCTGACTCGGATTTATTGGAAGGTTGCAGTTGGCAAGTTGCCGGTGGGGCAAAGAGACTGCCAAAAAGGGTCCAATAAGATGGATCGAAATTTGGTTATTAGCATGTCATCCGAGGGTGCAAGCGAACAGGATGAGAACCTGGCACTGGAGGACGATGCTGATCAGTCAATGGGTGACGGTGCGATGGTAGTTCTGGTGTATGATCCAAGGACGCTGATTCAGTCGCCAACAACTGATTGGGTTATGCGTCGCGGTCTTACCGATCGTTCCGTCTGGCCAGCAATGGCGTACATGGCGCAGAGGATATGTGCTGAAATGGTTCAAGTGGATGAAATGAATGCCCAGCTAGGGACTGGAGCACTCCTTTTTCAAAGGAGAGATCAAGGACATTATAGTGACCTGCATCATTCGTTCCATGACAACCCGTGCTTGCCGGCGGTGGGGAATTATCCTCTTTCGGTGATGGGTGCCTTGTTGTCTCCTGGTTTGGAAGGGGAATTCAAGAATACTGACAAGTTTGGAACTGCTATGGAGGCAATTGCCTATGATTGGAGCCGCAGTCCAGGCATGGAAGTTCACATTGAACTTATGGCGAGGGTAGCCAAAATGGTTCACCCATTCCTGAATCTTGGAGCCCAAGGGTCGGTGATGGTTTCGGAATTCTCTGGCAGCGCGGGAGGGCTCGGTTGATGGAGTTCCTTCAAGCGGCGACTTGTGCGGACCAATTGGAGGCTCTCTGGAGAAGGATGGACGACGATGCTGATGAAGAGGTGGATCCTTCGACAGCGGTGCTGGAAGTTCTTGGACCAGAGGGTGCGGTGCTTGATCAAGGGAACAATGAATCCCTTATTTCCATTGAAGATGCTGGAGGTGAGACAAGTGGTGACACTGGAGGGGATGGCAAAGCGCCAGAAGTTTCTCCGGAAGAGGAGACATCCAGTGGGTCATCAAGACTGGCGGACACAAGGATTTTCTTGTGGTCAGTATACTCCCGCGTGGCTTCGAATTTCTCTATGCAGGACCGCACTACTGGTAAGATCTTTGACAGCACAAAAGGGTATCCTGGTGAAGGACCAAACAATGATGACAATCCTTCCTCTAAGGGGAACTTACCCTGGATCTCGGAAGACTACCTCGACGAAGTGGTGTCAAAAAAGATGAAAAGGTCTTCAGATATGGATGGGTTTGTTCCGGGAAGTGAGGGACCATTGGAAAAGGTAGAGGTGGAGAATGTTACTGCCTCTAAAATTCTTATGGCTCTTTGGAAGAAGGGACATAGAGTTGGTTATAGGAGGTTGTGTCGTTTAAACGCATCTGGATGCAAGGTTGGAGCAATGAAACGTCCAATCAAAAGGGTGCAGAAGATTGGCACTAGAAAGGCCTTCACGAAGATGTTCAATGTTTTTGGATCGTCTCAGCATGGCTCAGGAGTTGGCGGAAAACCGATCATGAAGGTGGTAGGACCAAGGCCAGGTTTTCCAGCTGTACTCCAAGCACCAAATACTGATAGCACGTCGGGTGAAGGGAGCAGTCCCCAGGTACATGGCAATGTTCATGTAGAGCACAATCGCCCTATGGACCGGTATGAGGCAGAGCGCTTGGAGAAGAGGAAGAAGGGCTTCTGCTATTGGTTCGGCAAGGGGAAAGATCGCTGCAAATTTGGTGACGACTGCAAATTCATCCATTCCGAAGATGATGTGGTGCTACATTCATATTGGTGCAAATACTATGTGGCAGGGAGAGAATGTTTCGCTGGAAAGGATTGTGGGTTCTCGCATGATGCAACTGGTGTGAGGTGCGTCCAGTTTGCTCGGTCTGGGAAGTGTCGATTTGGTGACAGGTGTGTCTTCGAGCATGGTGTTCCGCTGGAAGAACAGAGGCCAAGGTCTCCAAGGACGCCCCCAAGGGATGGTCCAAGGAGAAAGTCTGGTGCAAATGGTGGAGAAAAGGAGATCTCTCCTGAACAGTTCGATGATGATGAGGAGGATTTTATGGTTTATGACGAAGAGACCAAGATGACGGAACTGTTGATGGAGGCGATTTCATTTTTGTCCGGTGGCAAGCCAGATTTGGCTCGAGCAGAGGCGGACCCATTGTTCAAACTCCTGAAGTTCACTGGAGATGCTGACCAAATGGATCAAGAATGGGTTTCGTGGACCACTGAAATGTTGACCGTGCTGGAACTTCTCGAAGTAGTGAAGTCGTATGAGGTTTCGCTCGCGGAGGTGGAAGAATGGGTCAATGACCTGAGGATATGGTATGAGCGAGCCAATTTGGGAGAGGAAAAGGATTCCAAAAGAGGCAAAAAGAGGTCCCTAGAAAGGGAGTCCAGCACGGATATTCCTGCCGAAAAAGGAGTGGTTGAGACTTCGGAGACGGAGGTTGCCGTTGAAGAAGAGAAGAAAAAGGTAAAAAAGAAGAGGAAAGCTGCAGCTATCGAAGATCCTTACACTCTCATGGTTCCAAAGCCGAAGAAGATGCCGACGATCATTGAGAAGGGTGGATCAACATCCAATGTGGTGGCTTCTGCAGTGGAAAAATCCTCGAAGACGCGCACAAAGTCAAATGTCGGTGGAAAGACAAAGAAGAGGGAGAAAAGTCAGAGTCCCAAAAAGAAGAGGTGGTAATGGTGCAAGATCCTGAGGAAAAGGATCGTCCATCTGATGCGGATGCACCAGGGTCTGCCACTGCGAATGAAGAGCTGGGTCAATCTTGCCAGGCGATTGAGGACGCAAAGAGAGAAGGATTGGTATCCTCAATTCAAAGGGGCGTACAGGATCCTGTTCTTACAGTTTCGGACCTGGAGTATATTCTGCTGCAACTTCACCTCAAGATTGCCAACAATCGGAAAAAGAAGTGATTGGATGGTATGGATGAAGGGATGGTTTTTCTCTTTCTGGAGACAGGTGCGCTGGAACAGCCAATGTGCTGACAATGTGGTGGTTACTATTAAGGGTATGGAAATCCCTGATAGTAGAAGTCAGTAGCTTTTCGCGTAGCGAAGACCACGGTTTGTGGTGAAGAAGGCCAAGGAGTCTTCAGTGATGAGAGGATCATGGTGAAAAGAGATTCTCTATGGGTAGTAGGTTAGCCAATGTGCTATAATTCCGTCCTGGAAGACGTTAAACCACAACATGCATTTCAAGCAGCTGGCTGCTGCCTTAATGGCAGTTTTTGGCCAAAAGATCTGCATCTCCAATGTGTCCTAGGAAATCCTAGGACAGGGGGAGTGCGGAGCTGCAATTGGTATTGTAGAAAAGAGTTAGTGTTGAGAGTTGGAAGGGTTAATGAACCCGTAAATCATGTTTGGCTGATTAAGATGGGCTTGAACAGAAAGCCACAAGTTCAAAAAATAGTGCCTGGGTTCTTAGGGTTTGGTAAGGGTGTGGATTCCTTCCCCCTTTCCTTCCCCCCTGGGTTGCTCTTATCCGTGTTCTTGTTTGTTTCTTGGTTCGATCTGGGAAATATAAGTTCAGGGCGATTAGGGGAGTTGATTTCCTTCCTTGGTTGTCCCCCCGTACCCTAAACCCTAAACCCTAAACCCTAAACCCTAAACCCTAAACCCTGAACCTGAAACCCGAAAAACACTGGAGAGAGCCAGGAATATCAATAGCTATACATAACATTTGTGCGACGAAAGCCTCAAATGAGGGTAGCTCTAAACGCTGAACCTCGAAAATCTGAACGCCGAACCGACCCAACACCTTAAGCCCTAAAGCCTAAACCCTAAACCCTATACCCTAGACAGCTTAAACCTATAAATTGAAAGGATTTTAAGGGAGGGGCAAGGGGGTGTGTAACCCAAGGTTCCCAAATACTCCCCACTACTCCCTAAGGCTCCCGAAG